AAAACCATCTCCATTTCGGAGATCCAATCCATAATCTCAACAGGCTTTGGGCTTCCTGAGAGACTTGGTGGCTTCGCACCCAATAAATTCTTGTACATTCGCCCGTCCTTGTCGTTTCCCCTCTCCGGGTCATTCCTTCGTTCTCCTTGAGTCCCAACTTGACTCACTTGGCGGCTGTAGTTCCCTTCCTCCGATTACTCGGGAACTAGCTCGGGTTGCCCAATGGGTATGGGAGGTTCATCCCTCTGAGACATTTGCCTCATTTCTTCCCTATGTTCAGCTAACATAGCCCGAATCATGACTTGTACTCCAGCCATGGTGACTGGCTTATGTGCCACTTCCACTACAACGGGTATTTGCTATATCATTGGGGGTTGATTTCTGTTTCCATTTGCATTCCCAACTTCACTATGGGTTCTTTCCATCTTGATCTATACACCGAATAAGGTGAATTTAGATCTTTATTTAGGATAGACGTTTAAGTTATCCTTATCACTTCAAAACGTTTACATGTTAGTTCTAATATCGTAGTCGTACGTTTAGAATCCTGAACACATAAGGTTTCCAGATCCGGTCGGCAACAGACCATAGATCCGAACAAATAACAACATATAAGGCATAAAGCATTTAGCACATAAAGCATTTTAGGCATACTTCCTAAATAAGCTAGTGCTCACATCTCACAATCATCGCTTAACATTGTAAGTTTAAGTCTAGAAATCCTACAAATTCCTAGTTCGCTTAAACTAATGCTCTGATACCAACTGTGACATCCCCATTTTCACGGCCAGAAAAGACCGATTTGTTTACACTTTGTTCAAAAATCAGAGTAACATTTTAAATAAAAGAGTTGTGGAATTTGTTCCCAAAAACAAAATATGATAAAGATTTATCAAAGCATTTCCGTAGAAATGTATTTCATTAAAAAGACTCGGGATGTCATGTTCGATACAGATCAAAAGTATAAACAATATAATATAAGTCTTACTACATTATTTCATATCAACAGGCCTATATGTAATCCCTCATCCAAAACATCACATCTATGCTTGAGCGCCACTACCTGTAATACATGAAACTGAGTGGGTCAGGCTTGGGAGCCTAGTGAGCACATAGGGTTTTCAAGCCACAATAAATAAGTTTATTAATTTCAACAACCAACAATAACCCGATTACCTGTTTCCGTTATCCTCACTTTACGTCCCTAAAATAACATCTATAACAAGGGACCTAATCTAGGAATTTCATCAGGACGGACACAATTGCAAAGGGGTTTCCTTAGCAATAAATGTCCTAAAGGCAACCATGAGGGGGATAGAGTACACCGGTGAACACATCGTTCACAAACACCTACAGGTTATGAGTCTGCTAGCGTTTCACTGGACAGTCTAGAAGTGTCCGTGGTCGTCATCCATACTCCGCTAGATGACTAGAACAACAACAACAACAACAACAACATCGAGGCCTCTCATCATTTTATCACACATCGTCTATTACATCTACCCATGTTTTACCCCAACATTTTTGTAGATATAAAATACATATAAAATACATATACAGTTTAAATCATTTAAAGCATGTATAAAAATCTTTCATCAGCATAGACAGCAAGTATTCAGACAATATGGACACAAAGCACGTAGTTTATATTAAATACTTCATATCTATGTGTAAGATGAAAGTAACTATGCACTCACCTGGTAAGGTGGTGACTGGGTACTCGGACAGCACTTCGTTACTCTTAAAACAATTTTCATTGGACAAAACCTAGTATCATTACCACTAGAGTTTAGTCTAACGTTTGACGAGACTAATTAATAGTCTAACTATTATTACTATTATATAAGTGTGAAACAATACTCTTCACCCACTATGTACAGACAGGGGCCATACATGAAACACCGGAGGGCAAGATCATTTTGGCATAAAGCACTTCTGAATCCAGCAACCCAAGCGGCCCTCCAAACCAGATTCCCCGTACCACGAGTAGTTAAAAAGATATTATAACGATACTTATATAACTCATAATAATAACCCAAATATTTATTACAAGTTCATAATAACAATACTAATTTTAAATATAAGCTATACTTAAAGTAGGGTAATCATAACTTACTTGCAAGGGGGTTGTATCTAGGAGCCGAGCTCTGCAGGGGCAGAACTTCGTCGCTGAATATTTCTAAGAAAGATTCGTGCAGCGCTTCAGCGCTCACCTTACTATACTAAAACTACAGAAAGAGAAGTCGAATCACGAGGGACCGAAATGCTCGGGGGATAAGAAGAGAAAGACTCTTGAATCAAGAGAATGGTGCAAGAAATATAAGAGCTAGAGGCTCTTATTTATAGTAACTGAATTTTCAAAAACTACCCTCCATAATTACTTAATGACCTTATAGTTATATAAACGACTAAACACCCATTCATAATACTATTTTAAATAGATTTAACGATATTTGTACTAAACCAATATCGAAAGTACTCAACACTAGTCTTACAACGACCGCATCGTCGATACCTTTCTAATGATATATAGATATGTATATATATGTATACGTATATATGATTTATACTTTATTTTAATACGTAAATATGCTATTATAATTTGTAACTCGTTCATACGAACTCTGTTTTTGATGTTCTTTATATCCACGCGTAGGCGGGACCGTACCCTACAACTTTCGTTTAGACTCCGTCGACTAATTTTGACTTCATTTTTAAAGTTATATTTTTAACAGGCCGGGACAGGAAAAGTCCGTTAAAAATTCATAACTTCTTCATCCGACGTCTGTTTTCGTCTGTCTTTTTACCGTTGCGGTTATATTAACGAGATCTTTGATTCTCGTTTAGGTTGCGTTGGCCAAAAATCGACCGATCTAAAATTCGAATTTCGGGCTGTGCACTACTATGCCAAATCTTAGAAAAATCATAACTTCCTTATACGAAGTCAGATTTGGGCGTTCTTTTCATGAACGTTCTCTATTTAACGTATATTACAACTTTCATTTAGATATCTAAGGCTAAAAAGTAGTTTATCAAAATTTCACTATTTACGCTTCCGGTGCCGTGCCGGTTTTACCGTAAAACTTCGACGGGTCATAACTTCTTCGTTATAACTCGGATTTTGGCGTTCTTTATATCCTCGAAATCCTTGTTTCGACCACTACAACTTTATATAAAGATATCGGGTTTATCTCATACTTTAATTTTGACGCTTATTTTTATCCTTTATTTATTATTCATTTATAAATAAGTAATAAGCACATAAATCACATAATACTCAAATAATCCATCTTTATTATTTCAAAAAGAGTTACAATAGTTGACCTAGACTATTATATTATCTATTAATGCTTAACCCCAAAACCCGGGCGTTACAATAACCCATGTTAGATTCTTAAGATTGTTTCGTTTGGAAACTCAATAAAACTGTTGGGTGCGAGATAAGTGGAATGATGGGTGATATTGGTGTTGGTATCGACCTATACATGGAGGGGTTAGTAGTCGAAAAGGTGTGTATCTTAACACTCTTATGTGCCTTGTATGCTTGATTGTTCCATAATAGATAAACCATGTTCTGTGGTCTTGTGATCTAGTAGCCACTGTTTGATCCAAAGTTTTTAAGTGGGTTGATGTTACCCCTTCTTTTCTAAACAAGTTGTGTGATGTTTACGACTGGTTTGATGATCTAAGACGGCCTTCGATTCAAAGATTGGCTCTTGAAACTATTTTCGGAATGGTGCTTTGGGTGTTATGGAAGTTTAGAAACGAGATGGTGTTTGGTGATAAACTTCCTTCTCGCGAAATTTTGTGCCAGAGTATAGTTGATTTTTTTTTAATGGTTTGTCAATAGAAACATAAATGTTAAGGCTTTTTGGAGCGATTGGCTTCAAAACCCCTTAATGGGTTTACCTTTGTAATAATTTTTTCTTTTTTAGCTTTTTGATAGCTTTAATATTAGTTGTTCTGAAAAAAAAAAAAAATTTAGGCATGTCACTAACTTAGTGTTGTCCTGACATGGACATGTTTATAGCGTATCTTAAAAGGACTTCGATGTGAGCATTCCAAAGCTTTAGTATAGTCTCAACTTGTACTTGCTTTTGCTTATCCAAAACCCCAAATTAAGCTTAACTACCTTAACACATTTATACATATTGAATCCGTAACTTAATATCACTCACTAGTTAAGGTAATCCTAACTTAAACATATCAACTTAAACATATCCAACACTTCCCAATGCTATGCAGTTGTCTAACTTACTTAACTAATTCAATGTATACATAAGTTACTCACATTAATGAGTTATGGTTAGAATATATTAACTTCTTTGAGCCCTTTTCTCTTCAAAATTATCTCAACACATATAGTACAAGTTTTATGACTTATGGCCAATGTATTATGGTGTTACTCTTTAATGTTATGTTGTGTTAACATGATTTCCATTTGATATTAAATAAAATAAATATGATGATGATGATGTATTTGTATTAGAACTTAAAAGATGTTGTCATGTTGATGCATATTCCATCTATGAAGACTAAGATGTCTTGAACTTTTAAAATTTTATATTTAAGTCTTTATGGTATTTTGATGCTCAATAATTAAAATTTAAATGTTTGGTATTTTTATTAAATTTTTAAAAAAAAAACCTTATGATATCATTTTAAACATTGATTGTCATTGATTGTATTTGATTCATAAGTTTCAGATCAGATTTGCTTACATCATCATCATCATCGACCAAACACGCGTCTCTAATTTCACTTACGATCTTACCTTGTATGTGTTTGAAAACCCTCATCTCCTCAGAACACCATCAACCGTCGTCAAACCACTTCTCATGTCTATCTCATTTCTATCTTAGGCTCCGGCATCCGTTTTTTTATCAACACCCTCCGTCCTTCCCCCATTAACATTCACGTGCTTACCTAAATCTTCTTCCCTCTCAACAGGATGATCGATTCCCAGGAAAACCCTAGCCGAAGACATCTATGTTGTAGACATGCTCCCTTCCCTCACCCTGTCGACGATGTGTACCCTCATCCAACTCGGTTTGTGTTCAAGTTCTATCTGTAAATAAATCTGAAGCACATCTTGTGTGTCTCTCTTCCCATCGATTCTTGGTGGTCAACCTCTTCTTATACTTGAAGTTGCAGAACCTACAATCATTATGTATACATACTTGTATAATTTTGCGAAAGAGATACAAGATTTGGGTTAACAACTATTCTTAGCTTGGGCAGGATGGTAATATTTTTAGAAATCCCTTCGCCACATGTCTCCTTTTTTCACAAATTCTTTCATTTTCCAATTTTGGATATGTTGATAGCAATTAATGTATATACAACTTTTGTAGGGTATGCACATGGACAACCCTACTCTTGTTTCTTTTGGCGATTTTTAATGCTTGTGCTATTATCAGTAGATTCACAAGGATTGCAGGGGAAACATTTGGGATGTTAATTTCTGTACTTTTCATTCAAGAGGCCATCAAGGTATTTAGCCATGTAGAAAAAAGGTTCCGATGATGATAATTTGAGAAAATATTTCAAGTTTGTTTTGGATTAATTCTGGTTTTGTTGACTAGGGACTGGTGAGTGAGTTCAAAGCTCTCAAATCTGTTGAACCAAATTCACCCAAAGATCAATTTCAGTGGCTTTACACTAATGGATTGCTTGGTATTATATTTTAATTTAGACTTCTATACACTGCATTAAGAAGTATGAGAGCAAGATCCTGGTTGTATGGAACAGGTATATCAAGTTTATTGCAACCTGGTGGCTTAGCTATATTCTATATCATCTTAACATGTAGTTATTCTTGTGAATACTTAATACAGGGTGTCTTAGAAGCTTCATAGCAGACTATGGGGTTCCATTGATGGTTGTAGTGTGGACATCACTCTCTTTCTGTGTACTAAGCAAAGTTCCATCTGGTGTTCCTAGAAGGCTCTGTATCCAACTCTTATGGGATTCTAAATCTTTATACCATTGGACTGTAATCAAGGAATATTTTTGCAAATTTCTGTCTACTTTGGACAAAAATCTTGCATCCTAACCTTTAATTTCTTATAATTGACTTGTAGGACATGGGCAAGGTTCCTCCAGTTTATATCTTGGCTGCCTTCATCCCAGCAGTTATGATAGCTGGGCTCTATTTCTTTGACCATAGCGTTGCTTCAACGAACAAAGAGTCAGAAACTTTCTACAATCGATTCTCTTAGCAGTGTCTATATGTGCCATGCCCTTAATAACGTTGATACCCACATCGGTTTTATGGGGCTATTTTGCTTACATGGCCATTGACAGTCTTCCTGGAAACCAATTTTGGGAAAGAATCTTACTTATTTTTATTCACCATAGTCGAATATACAAGTGAGTTAAGATTTAACATTTCATTCTTGCACTGAAAATCATCCTTATTACTTATATCAATGTTTCATCATCAAAATTTGTCAGGGTTCTTGAAAGGGTTCACGCTTCTTTTGTTGAATCTGTGCCATATAGAACCATTTTCATGTTCACGATCTTCCAGATTGTCTATTTCCTTACGTGTTTTGGTGTGACATGGATACCTATAGCAGGCATTCTCTTCCCTGTTCCATTCTTCCTTCTCATCACAATACGACAACACATTCTACCAAAGCTGTTTCACCCTTATCATTTGAGTGAACTGGATGCAGCTAAGTATGAGGAAATCGTGGGTGGTCCATCATGACATACCAGCTTTATTCTTAGGGTACGTGCTCATATAATGTATCTCATTTAGCATATCGTTTTTCTTATTTTCTACATTCATGAGAAAATACATGTATATATAATCAGGAGATTGATGGAGTTGATAGCAAGAACGATGAAGATGAAGTGACATTGTGTGATTTCTTTGCAATTTTTATCAAAAAAATCTTCTTATGAGTTTTTGTCCCTAATTTTGTAGATTTTTATATTTGCTTATGATCTCTATTCTTAAAACTGAAGGTGATCTTCCGTTCCATATGTACTCAAAATTCCTTATTTAGCTTATCATATATCAAATATGTCAAATATGAAAATGCATATTAACATTTTCCTTACTTTTTTTTACATAACATGCGACTCTAAGCATCACAAAAATAGTAAAATGTTGATGTTACCCTTTTATACTTGAGAAATATTCTCAATTTGTGACATGGTAAATTTGACTTTTGAAAGTCAAAATAGTAGATCTTTCATACAGATACCACTATTTTATTTGGTATATTTAAAGCTATACTTGTTGATAATATTCATATTGCTGTTGGAGAAATTATACAAATGTCATATTAGTTGATGAAATGGGTCTTAATAAAATAGTTCAGTCTGTTTCTATGCTTGGTTTCCTTCAGGTATTCATATATATTTTAATTTCTCACATCATTCTGCCAATTTGCTATATATAAAGTGATTAACTTTTTTTTATGAGGTCTGCACAGAACTCACAACAAATTCATGGACCAATTCTTGTTGTTGTTCATTTATCAAATTTGTCAAATTTGGCTAAAGAGTTCAGAAAGTGCCTTCCTGATATGAACATGGTTGTATATGTTGGGACTCGTGGTAGGCGAGAGGTATGTAAAGCTTAATTTTGTGTTTGTTTAGAATTGGAATTGACGATTCCATTCCAGTGTTGCCAAATGGATGGAATTCGTTTCCGCTGGAATCTTCTGTTGTTAGTTTGATTATCTGCTTATGTTAGTTTACTGTTAGGGGTAAATGCAGCAAATAACAATGTTGTCTGTGTTGAAATGTCCCCTCTACAAAAATAGTAATATTAATCCTATTCCAATTCTTCCCCTACTGGATTCTCAAGTGGTTCTATATCTTGCCACTTAACTGATTGGTTTATTTGTCAGGTATTACAAATGGATCCTTGAACGCAACTTTCATGAAGGTGTGCGTGGAAATCAGGTTAGCCTAAACTAAATTTAAAAAGTAATGAAAATTATTAAATATCGACTTGAATCTTATCTATGTTTTGTTATTTCTTTAGACATATATATATATATATATATATATATATATATATATATATATAATTAAAAATCGTGTATAATGGATTTTTTTTGGGCGGTTTCACATACTTGGATGAAGACCTCAGGACTTGCGACTAAATAATCATTGAATTTACTGTATCAGTTCCTAGAAAATTAGGATGGGGGTAAAGGACACTGCAAATTGTAAAATTGTTGAGGTAAAAGTTCTTCTACTTCTTTGGCCTTGAAATTTTGTATTTTTTTTATTTTAATCATCATTTCCATGCTTGTGATTACATATTTTTGTATCGATTATATGTTTTTTTATATATTTTTTTTCTTGAATTTGCCAACTTACCTTTTATCAGTAAGGGTTGCAGCAATGATTCCAGCATATACATGAAGCCTGAGGAATTATAATAGAAGTTAAATCACAAAAGACATATATAACCTTTATCAAGTGTCATGGGTTTTAGTAAATATTGTACCTGGATAATTCTCACTCAGCTTTTGGAGGGCTGGAGGGCAAGTCAGAGCATGTAACACTCAAAATTTCAAATCAATTTAAACTTTATAAAAAATGTCAAGTAAATCAAAACATTACAACTTTGTTTTCAAAATATAAATTATCAGAGTTTTCCCAGAAACATAAACATAATAGGAGGAGCTGTACGATCACGCCTTTGCCTTGCCGCGATCCCCTGATGTACCTAAAACAATAAACTGAAACTATAAGCCCGAAAGCTTAGTGAGTTACCCCCAAAATACCGATACACATACAATCCACATAACCGTGTCAACGATAACATATCATAACAAACTGAACAGAACAACACGTAACGGGTCCACAGCTCTACAGACTGGAATACCCCTGGGCCCACAGTGTGAGTCTGGAATGCCTACCGAGCCCTCAGCTCACATCTGGATTGCCACCGAGCCCTCAGTACGAGTCTGGAATGCCTACTGGGCCCTCAGCTCGTATCTGGAATGCTCTCGAGTCCTCAGTATGAGTCTGGAATGTCTACCGGGCCCTCAGCTCATATCTGGAATACTCTAGGGTTTGTTGGCTACCGCATGGAGCAGTACAACCTCAACCCAACCCACATAACATATAACATAACTACTGAGCATGCAATAATCATATAACATCACAGGTAGTCCTACAGGTCTACCTAACTGGCATAACCACTAGCATGCAACACAAACTCATACTCAACATGTAACACTACTAGGATAACATATCCAATGGGCCGGCCTTGGTGCCTTAGACCCCTTAGTATAGTGAGGATAACTCACCTCGTAGATGTCAACTCGGTAGATAATTCCAACTCTCCGATCACTTGCCAAGGACTCCACCACCTATTACCATAGTACGAATATACTCATAAGTCCTCATCCTTACAAAGTACTCCATAAACCAACTAGTTAATCCCTGGTCAAAGTCAAAGTCCTCAGTCAAGGTCAACAGTCCATGTTGACCTCAACTCGCCGAGTACCCTCGGCTACTCGCCGAGTTCTTGAAGCACATTCCAACTCGCCGAGTCATCGGGGTGACTCGTCGAGTTCCTTCGATTCTCGATCAAATTTTAAGGCCACCCGTCGAGTTTCCTCCTTGCAACTCGATGGATACACACGCATACATATCCTGGAGAAAACTCATCCGACTCGCCACAACTCGTCGAGTCTTATGGCAATCTTCATCGGACTCGCCGAGTTGTTCATCCAACTCGTTGAGTTCTCGGCCATCTTCATGTGACTCGGCTTGCGACTCGCCGAGTCCATTCAGTCTTTTTTCCATACAGACTTGTTTTGAGCTATGCAGCGGCTCCAAATCACAGATCCAAGCTTCTAGGGCATGCTTATCACGTAAAGTTGCAAACTTTACGTGCATGCAAGGTTCTAAAGGCCCTAAATGACCAATCTATGCTTCCAATGGAGATTTACACCTTAAGAAAGTCTCATTCTTGCACAAGCTGGAAACTTTATGTACTAAGAAGCCCAAAGGAGCTCAGTTCTGAAGTTACAACTTCAGATCTGAGGTTGCAAAGGAGAATAGCTTCCAATCACACTATGAAAACCCTAGAATTTGTCCAAAGAGGGGATCTAGAATGAATGAGGTTAGGGTAACGATTTATACCTTCCAAAAGATGCTAACTACAATAGATCTCAGGTCCTTCAAGCTCCTTGCTTCTGAATGCTTGATCTCCAAGCTCTTTTCTCCAAGAAAATCCTCCTCCAAGCTTAAGAATGCACAAAATGAGCTCACACACGATTAGGGTTTTAGAGGGGCAAGAAGCAGTGAAGGGGAGGCTGGGGGGATGGCCAATGATCCTTTAAGTAGGGTGAAATACCCCGAAATTTAGGGTTTCATCTGCCAGCTCCTACTCGTCGAGTCTCTTTATGGACTCGGCGAGTAGGTCACTAAATGTGCGATCCCACCTCGCTGCTACTCGACGAGTAGGGCACCCTTAACTCGTCGAGTAGGACTTAAAACCAAAGAAATTCTTACTTAAATCAATACCTGAGAATCGGGGCGTTACAGAGCAGATACCTAAATATTTAGATAAATTTAAGAAATCTTGAAATTAATAAATTGGTTATTGCTTTTCATTTTGGAAGGAGGAAATCATTTAATAATTGATTTTCTATAATACTAAATCTCATTTGATAGTTAGTTAATTAGTTACCTAGGTGGTATGTCTTGGTTGCTGGCAAGATGGATGCTGCATGTTCTGCAAGAGCAAGCCCAACTCTCAGATTGGGAACAACCTGCAAACACAAGGGTATTTGTATAAATTTACACACATAATAGAAAGTGTTTATAATAAAGCACAATGTAAGGAATTGATATACTAACCGCTACAGGTTCTCTTGGATCAATAAATTCAACTGTAGCAGGCCCAAGTGGGGACTGAATCTCCCCTGAAATTGTAGGCTGCAAAAAAATAAACATACTAGATTAATGATTAAAGCAAGAAATTGCAATGCACTTTGATATATTCGTTTATTATATAACATCCTACTTTCATTTATGTCTATTACAGCATTGTATTATCAAATAAATTCTTATTAAGGCGTTGTACTTTCGCTACAATTGAGTATATTTTTATAGTGCAAAATGTTGTAATAGGAAGAAGTAAAAAAGTAAGATGCTTTAGTAAATAAATCGATTAGATCATATTGTTATTTCTTACAAAAAAAAAAAGAGAGACCAAATGAAGTATACCAGCCAATCCCTTGATGCTTCATATATAAGAAGCCTTCCAAGCTCAGCCATGACATTCTCTGTAAATGAAGTCGTTATAAACAAAAGTATAACATGCAATTTAACAAAAACATGAGTGAATGAAATAGAATTTTAAAGTTTTTGTTACATGAATTGGGACTAAACAAACAAAGATGGTGATTGATTTGCAAATGGTGCATCCTGGAAATATAGAATACATTTGCAGATAGAGCACCATCACTCTTGGGAGAACATGAATCTTGATTTAGTGCATGTTTGTTGAAGTTATATTAAAACTATTTTTGGATCTTATTTGATTTAGTGCATCTTTGTTGAAGTTATATTTTAAGCTTTTATTTATGTCATGATATTCTATATGTAGTTATATTATAAAATTGATATTAATTTATGGTATATATTAAGGTAAAATTTTATTTTTCATACTTATTCAATAATTTAATGCTTTTTATTAATTTAAAACACTATACTTTTGGATAAAACACAAAATTAACGTAAATAAAAACACACACACAATTAACATATTTTAAATAAACATGTGTAATTTTTACATAATGTGTTTTTGTTCATTTGATAAAATAAAAATGATTTTTGTAACAAATAATATATAATTTTGGTTCAAAAAGTGGTGTAATGGATTGAAAGACGGTATTATAAAACACAACCACACATATTAACTCCAAACATACTTAGGTGTTATTTATTTTCACCATCCAATTTCAACTTTCAGTTTTATTTTTTCTAATTCTATTGTTGTTCTTAAGATACATAGTTCAGATATCTTACACTTAACGTTGATATTGTTAAGGTATGTTTTTATCATGTTAGTTACCACTCATTAATGACATTAAGATTGGAAACTACAGACATCAGAACTACTTATAGACTATTTGTTTTCATGTAACCAATGTAGTACCTAATTTCGGATGTATTAGTTTTTTGCATTACGATAGATCTTGAGCATTGATACTTGATAAAAGCATTAGAATCTGTAATTACAAGTAAACATAAAAGAAGCCAATAATCGGTAGGGGGTGTCAAAAGTATGTATTGTTATATCAAATACTTTCATTTTCAAGAAAAAAAATATCATGTCACTTCCTTTTTTAAGACAAAAACAGCATGCTACTTTCAAATTTGAAAGAAAAAATAGCATGCTACTTTAATTTTAACATAAAAGTAGAATGCAATTTCAAAATTCAATGTAAAAATAGCACACTAATTTCACTTTTATACAAAAAATAGCATTATACTTTTCATTTATTAGACAAAAATAGCATGATTTTCATTTTAAGCCAAAAAATAGCATGCTACTTTCATTTTCTAGACAAAAATAATATTCAACTTTAGTTTTTAGGGTAAAAATAACATGCTACTTTTGACGGCAAAAATAGCATCGTATATTTTCAGCGGAAAAAAAAAACAGCATTTTTTATTGGTTTTTATAGCATCTTATATTTGGTTTTTAAGATGTTTTAATAATGTGAATTTGTATTTCGCTAAAGTGATGGAATGAAGCTTGCATAAAAAAGTTAGAGCCTAAGTCATGAATAGGCATTTTACTCAAATTGGTCAAAATGAGCCGGTTTTGTCATCAGGTCAAAATGATGCAATAATAGCATTTTCAAAACAATTTGTCATTAAAACAGACATTTTAATATCAAGTAAATTGGATTCTAGCTAACGATGATAGACTTGCGGATAAAACGTCTAATGTCGTAGTAGAATAATTGTTTGCAGTTTTTGATTAATAATTACAATTTTTATAGGCTCCATGTTATTTTTATAGTACAATTTTGACCTGATGCCAAAATGGCCACATTTTTGTCAATTTGACCTTTTCAAAAACTATCTCATTTTGACCAAAATGTGCTCGCTTTAGTCTATTTTACTTGATATACAAATGTCCATTTAACGGAAATACGTTGCTATAAATTGCTCCGAAAATGCTCCTTTTTGCACAATTTTTACGTAATGCCAAAAGTTGCTATAAATTGCTCTAAAAACTATATCATTATGTATGTGTGTTTGTGTATGGGTCTTTGTTAGTATTCATAATAATGTTTTTCTTATGGTTTCTTAGGGTGTTTGGTATTTCTCAATGTGTACAAAATTTCATTCTCGAAAGTTTATTATAATAAACACATCACTAAATGTATATTGCTCCTAATACATTGTCTACAAAATATAAAAATAAAATTAAACAAATTTATTTGAATTATATAACTATAATAGGATAGATTTTTCATAGTACATCGCTAAAATAAAACTAAATGAATGTGTGATGCTACAAAAGAAAGTAAAATTGGTCCATTGTTTCTACCTCCATATTTCAAGTAACTATTGCTTATTTGAGACCATGTAACGTTTCATCAATTGTATAGACAAATCATATTATACACATAACCTTGCAATACTTGTGTAGACTCGACTTCAATCATAATCAATTATATGTTGTTTATTGCGTCATCGGTAAAAAACATGTCTATAAAGAGATTATTCAACAATTATAGATATTCAGACATTTCAATATTACCAATAACGTTAAGTTGTTTTCTGTTACTTTATCTTATTATTATTATTATTATTATTATTATTATTATTATTATTATTATTATTATTATGCCAACTTTTTTATTCCTTTATATGTATATTTTTATATGTTACCCGCGTTTTACGCGGGTCATAATCTAGTTTTTATTAAATGTTGAACAATCAAACTTTTTATACTAATTAATTATTGGAGACTTAATAGTCAATTCTCAAGTATTTTAATTTATCTAGTACTTTTATGGGTTCCGTAACACCCAGATGTTTCAGGTATTATTCTTTCTTTTGAATACTTAGATTTGGGAACTGTCCTATTTGCGGCATGATGTATGTGTTATCACGACGTGTTACAATTATTTGTTTCGGCGCGGTGTCACATGGTTCATAACACCCTAAGTTTCGGGGTTGGGGCCCTATATAAGGAATATGAGGGCTAGGGTTTCGACCACCCTCCGTCCCCATCACTCAAGAAGCATTCCTTTAAAACCTTAACTCTCTCTTTCTTATTTTTGAGCTCCTTTGTGGTGTTTGTGGGTTTTTGGAAGGAAGAAGAAGAAGTTGATGTGCAAGAACCCACCAAGCAAACCCACCTTCATCTTCTTGAGAGCATTCTGGAGCTTTGTAAGTTTCCAAGTTTCTCACCTTTTATGGTTCATGTATCATAGATATAGGAAGATGAGCTTATTTCTCCATATTTGGTTTATTTGAGTGGTTGACTTTGATAAAGTTTGCAACTTTATGATTCCCTGAGGTCCCATGAGCAACATATACTATAGATCTGGATTTTTAGTTTATTTTGACGCCATGCATGAGTTTTGACCCATTTTCTCACCTTTTGACCTAACTTGGTGTGTGGCATGCATTGGACATTAACGTCTATAAAGCAAGGATTTTTATGGTTTATTTGTGTTCTTAAAAGCTTTTGGAAAGTATGAGTGAATGACTTAGCGAATTAGTGGCTTAATCCATTAAGTTGTTTGGAACATCCCCGTAACACAGAGTTTAGCTCGCCACGACGCAGTAGTGGATCCTCCCCGCGACTATTTTGTCAGGTAGCTTCCATGGTGCGGTCAGGGGTTGGCCACGGTGCAGTGGCTGATCGTTGACTTTTTGACTAGTTTGACTTTTGGTCAAACGTGGAGAGATTGTGAGCTATAAACTAAGGTTTGGTTGTGATTAGTTTAGGAGATTCGTGTAGCTGATTATGTGAGGATCTCGAGTAGTAGATTCAGATATTTGATCAGGTGAGTCTTATCACTATAATGTGTAGGATGCTAGATTGTCTTTGTGACTCTTGTATGTATGTTAGGTGAGGGCCGTTATGTATGTTGGGCGGGGTCCGTATTGGTATGTGGTATTTTGGGGAACTCACTAAGATTTGTGCTTACGATTGTATGTTTAATGGTTTCAGGTACTTCTGGTTTTAAAGGGAAGGGCCCGATTTGATTGCATTGCAGCCACTGGAGTTTTTCGCACTAACGATTTCATGACTTAACTCTGATGTTTTGAGAATACATTATACTTTAATTATCTTTTGAATGATTAAATGAATGGCTTGGGTTGTTGGAAAAATATATTTTTTTTACTTTATATTTATGGGACATTACAAGTTATTTTGTAATTATTTTTGTATTTTTTTTTCATTTTGAAGTTAATTATGATAACATCCAGTTTGGTGTCGGACCAACCAAAACTTTGACATGTAAGGCAACTAGTTCGGTGTTTGGTCTAATTTTCAAAACATTTGATGGAAACATAGCCGGTAAGGCCTAAGGATATTCATCAAACAACACATGTCGTATATGATGGAAAATAGGGTGTTTGATAATTAAGAATTTGGATTTCTTAAGGATCATGCTCATATTGATATTTTATCCCATATGTTTGGATTCCTCAAGGATCATTAAACTATCCCTGTATTCCAGCTCCGACATGGTCCATATAAACATACATTTTATAATTTGTTTTATAAGCATTAAAAATAGAAACATCCATCATGGATTTATCAGGTTCACACTAATGAAGTTTTTTTTATTTTCCATGCATGAAACACTCAGAATATGTCATAGCATGAAACACTAGTAAACGTTTCAGTTATGTGACACATTCATGTTTTTCAATTTTCACACCACCAATGTAAGAGAAAAGATTATAAATAAATACCCATTACTAGCTTAATTCCACCATCAAAAAGAGTCCATAATTATTGAGATGCTGTATTTCTTTCGCTTCCTTGGTTCTTCAACTCAATCGCAAAAAAAAAGGTTCAAAAACCTTAAGTGCTCATTTTTTCGTTTTCTGCTCTTTCGCATTTGGAACAATGAAGAAGAAGGTGGGCTTAACTAGTTGGAGATGATTTATTGCGACGTGGATTCAAAAGAATTGGTTTTACCAAATAAAAACGCTTAGCAACTCAACTTGTTGCTCGTTTGCCTTCTCACTCGTTGTACGGTGATCACTAATTTGAAAATTCAGTTTTATAA